ACTCTGGTGTATTTTGGTTCTTTGCTATAAATAAAATAAAAACTGTTGCATGAAGCGTAATGAGCGGGGGATGCGCCCCGTTCAGCCTTCCTTGTGGCTGTCACACTGTGGTGCCACCGAGTACCGGATGGCGCCCACTGGGCCTCGGGCGCATGCTCTCCTCTGCCGCCCTTTCTGCGCGTCTATTCTCGTGACCAGGAGATGCAGCAGCAGCGGCAGATGCGATTCTTCGAGTCTTCACTGCCGACTGCTAACTCCACTAGGGCAGACACTACCAGTGCTAAACACCAGCAGACACTCTCATTCATACTGCTGCGAGCCTTCGTCTGCGGCAAATGAATAACATTCGAAACGGCGCTCTCCCAGACAGCTTACAGCACACCAATGCTTAGCTTTCATTCAGCTCAGCTGAAGGCAGTCGTCAAGTTCTTCCTCCTAACTGTATCGTCTAAAGTTGTACGCAATAAATATCATTCCTCTTCCTTCTTGACCATCAGATGCCCGCACTAAGCGAGTGAATAAGCTCAACACGTGTTATCGGAATCCGCTGTGCCCTCATCTCATTAGAGAGAGGCTCTTCGTTTCACCGTCTCTAACCTTTGACCTTTTTGTGCAAGCCATTTTTGGCAATCGGTGACTTTTTTATTTTTTTTCATTTGCTTCTCTCCGTTTTTGCTCGTTTCTCTCACTCACTAAAAAACATATGGTTGTGCACCGGAAAGAATTAAGCTTCTGTAATGGCACGCGTCAATGGCACTGGCACTGAATCTTTCGTCCGGCGGCACGCGTCCAAGAAGAGCTCCAAGAGAGTGGTCTCCACCGTCTNTCACTTGCTTCTCTCCGTTTTTGCTCGTTTCTCTCACTCACTAAAAAACATATGGCTGTGCACCGGAAAGAATTAAGCTTCTGTAATGGCACGCGTCAATGGCACTGGCACTGAATCTTTCGTCCGGCGGCACGCGTCCAAGAAGAGCTCCAAGAGAGTGGTCTCCACCGTCTAGGACTTTCGACTGGAGCACATAGAACATCAGCATTGTGGCACAGTGCCCTGTGAACTGTGTTCCGGCGGGCACCACATGAGCACACAGACACACACACACACATACTGCTTGCCTCCCATGTCCATATGGTCTGCAGATGCTCCACACTGTCTCCGTCTGTAGCACTGTGTTCACTCTCTAAAAAACGTCTTCTTCAATAGTCCCCTTCTTCTGCCCTTCTTCTTTTTCTTCTTTTTCTGCCTCCCCTTCTCAGGCTCTCTACATTGACAAAGCTCTCCACAACAGACACATTTGATTCCTCGTAAGACATTTCGAGTGAATAGCAGCAAAGGAGGCCGTGGTCCTCTTCTTTCTCCCACTCAGACCAACTGTGCACCAATCGCAGCAGGCCATCGGGTGGCCACACTTCTGCCAATAGATTCCAGTTGCGACAGTTGACGCGCGCACTTCAGTTTCGAACGCCTCAGTCCAGACGAAGTACCCGTCAGTGTCACTTGTGGTCATCTGAACTTTAGCTGCAAGCAGCCGATCATTTCTGCATTCTCTCGACCAACCACTTCTTGATTTATCTTCACTCTTCAGTTAAAGTCATTGATGTTTTCATTTGTGCATTCAACTCATTCAAGATGAAGCATCTCCATCTTTACTTACTACTTTGTTGCATATTTTGCATCATTTTCCCCTGTCGATGCCAAGAAACCCAATCAAATCAAAGTAAGTTGTTTTTAATTTGTTTTTGTTATTAACTTGAGTGCTCGCTATGACATCAGCATTTGTATTCTATGCTGCTGTTATCTTTGCAGCAGAAATTTAATAGCAGGTTCTCCATGATGAGTTATTTGTCATTTTTTCAGTACTATTAGCGCTAATTTTTGCTTTCACATTTTGTGGTTATTTGGCCTATCAGGCGTAATCTGACGTCAGCAGTCATATTGACAAAGTCCACTGGCTTTGTTCTGGTGCGCAAAGCCGCAGGCGCCGGAACTGTTCCAGGTAATCAAAGGTGCAGAAACAATTGTTGTAACAAACAGTTTTAAGCTAGTGTATGTGAAAGGTTTTGTTATACCTACGCATATTAGCCCACTTCTCTTTAGCTTGACAATAGTTTTAGTTATTTTCAAATGTTAAAATACAAAATATATAAAATTGTTTTTTACAATAAAACAAAAGAAAAATAGAGAATCGAGTCATCTGAGCGGATGTCATTCTACTTTATTGCACTTGAAAAGCTATATGCGAAAAGATCAAAATGCCTGTGACTCGTCACGGTGATACTCGCCGTTGTCCCTCTGCTAGCCCTAATTTGCGAGACACTGGCTCTTCTTCACTATCTCTTTCTCCCTGTGCCCTTGCTCCTGTTGCAGGCACATGTGGTCTTCATTTGCCTCTCTGACCTGAATGGCGCAAATGTCCGCACCGTAATTCGACACCGCCGCAGTACCACATGTCCTAATGCCTTAATGTACTCTTCTCCTCTAGCTAAATACTCTCTGCACTTCCTTGGCAATCAATCGCGCTCTGTCTTGCGACACTCAGGCACCAATGCGACCTTCAGTTGTGATACTAAGGTTACTGCAAGTGTCCCCTTGCAGAACTCCTCGGTGGACGTCAAGCGAGTTTGGTTCAAGAATGGACACTTGTTGCCCAAGTTGAACCGTTCGGCAAAGTACAGATTTACTAAAAATGCAAATAACGAGACTGTCTTCTTGCGTTTGAAGAATCTCAGTGTGTCCGACCAAGGAGTGTACAAGTGTGTCGCCTGGCTGTTTGACTCTGCTAACAAAGCACTTTCCGACAACATTACTGCTCAATTCACCTTGACAGTAAAAGAATGGAAAAGCGCATCAAGCACACGTGAGATTGCTGAGCTGCAACCCAGTGAATTCAGTGAGACCAGGACATTGCACAATGACCAAAAGTTAGTGAATCTTCGGCGTCAGAGCTCAGTTGAACAAGAAGACTTTGAGGAGTCTGAATACAATCAAAAGGAGAATCTTGATAAGTCAAACGAATCGGATGACGATGATGAAGAAGACGAAGAAGATGAGACCAAAATCACCGATGTTAAGCTACCCATCGATTGTGAGTCAGCCAATTAGTTGCTTATTAAAAACAATAAGTTTAATTGAATGTGTTTCCCTCACGTTAGCGCCACCAATTTTTGCAGACGTCTACAGCTCACCTCAACCGCCGATTTACCGAGAAGTAGTTTTCGAAGCAGGCCAAGTCGTCCAAGTTGAGTGTCCTTATCGAGGACATTCAAACAATACAGACTATTTCTGGTTTAGAGGCTCACCTGGCAAACTTTTAAAGGGAAAGTTGCGCAGCAATGGTGAAGAGGTTTGTTCAGATTTACAATTGAAAAGCTGTGGAATGTTATCTAAATCCTTTTAATTTATTTTAGATGAGCGTTGTTAAGTGGAAACTTCAGATGCACAACATTGTCTACGATGAAGCAGGAAACTACACGTGTGTGGCAAGAAACCCTTTTGGGGAGCGCAATTTTACCTTTAAATTGAAAATTCTCAGTGAGTTTTAGTTTGTTATTTTAGTTATTTGTGAAATTAAATTACATTTGTAGAAGGAAATCAACACTCACCAATTATCACTTCAAACTATCCTCAAAATATTACGCATGTACTTGGTGAAAATGTAAATCTGACATGCAAAGTGGAAGCGAGTATTAAACCCAACTTCGGATGGTTTAAAGTCAATTCGACTGTTGAGCCTCAGGGTTTTACCAGTGTTGGGGTAAAGTTTTAATTTCTTTATTATGATAACTTTTTTAATTTATAAATTTTTGTGTTTCTTGTGTCAATAACAGATTCCTGGAAGCTACACATTGCGATTCGAAAACTTGACATTCGAAGATTCAGGAACGTACGTTTGCATTGCGAAAAACAAGTATGGTAGTGCAAACCGTACTCATCATCTGAACGTCATGGGTAAGTCATTGCTCAAATGAAATAAATCTTTTGGCGGTCGAGTCTAGAGCTAATTAATTAGAATGGCGCCCTTTACTTGCTGGCACTAGGCAGTGCTTTGCAAGCGCGCGGCAATGCTGCCATAAAGTAGTAATCGAACGCCGCTGCCAATTGCCAGTTGGGGCAGTGAGCGAATCACTTTTAGTTCATATCCGAGAGTGATCAGCTCAGCATCGTTTACATTCAATCTTGCCAACGTCGCACTGAGACCATAAAGAGTGCACATTCGACGTTTACATAACACAGAGAGGATATAAAACAGGCAACACTGCAGGCTGCTAGTGCCGATGAGTGGATCGGTGCCAGCGATCGGTCGACAGCTCACTGAGGGCGTGTAATCCACCAGAGAGAACATCTTTGGTGGTACTGATGCTCTTGCTGGTGATGCTGCTGCTGCTGTTGGTGATGGTGGTGCAGTGTGCTGCTGCATCAAAGCACTGCACCAGCAGTACACCGTTTGCATGCCGGCTGTACTCAGCATTTCTATTTGAAGTGGAAGCACACACAGCATAAACAGTCGCACATAATAGCTCTGCCCGATCAGTCTATCATAAACAAACACTTGGCCATTATTTGATTCAGCCCGATCAGCAAATAGTAAAGGCAGCTAAGCAGTTAACTGTAGCCAGTAGTAGCACCAGTTGCCAAGGCCCATTGTTTATGTCAGCTGGTGGCAGTCTGCTGGTCTGACTCAGTTGACTTTGAAGGTCAATTTGTAAGAATCAATGAATCAGTCAGTGGTGCCCAGTTTACAGAAGGTACCCACTGTTCACAGTGTCAGTCATTGTGAGCACTCAATCGGTGGATGAATGGGAGCACAATGGAGAGGGGAGAGAAAGAGAGAGCACTGGACAGAAGTCGATGATTATGTGAATACTACTAACATTGCCCATTGACATGCCCTACAGCTTTGCCGACCAACCGCCACCACATGCTGCTCTTTGTCTCTTCGGTACTACTCTTCTGCCTAGTGCTCGTCTGTGTCGTCTTCAATCTCATCTGCTCCCGCCATCGAATGTCCAAAGAGGTCACCATCATCAATGCACAGCGTAGCTACATCATAAGAAAGAGAATCATTCTCGAGACGCCTTCCTATGAAGGCTCCATCGGTAGGGATGACCTGGAGGCAAACTTTGAGAAGGAAGCCAGCTTCAACTACCTGGCGCCACTGGTCAAGATTGACTGCAAAACAGTAACCGTCGATATGGATCCGGAAGAGCTTTCTAAATGCAATGGTACTCAGTACGAGCTGCCACTGGACCCAGCCTGGGAGATGGATAGAGAACGGTAACTTGAGTAGAAGCAAAATAACTTAAACTTAACACTAAATATCACTTTGTATTAGTTTGGTTTTTGGTCGTGAGCTTGGTTCGGGTGAATTCGGCATCGTTATGGAGGCGGAGTACAGCACTGAAAACTACAAGAAGATGGTTGCAGTAAAGATGCTCAAAAAAGGACATTCAGATGATGAGCTCTTGAACCTGGTTTCCGAAATGGAAGTCATGAAAAAAATAGGCAAACACAAGAACATCATCAATCTGGTTGGATGCTGCACTCAAAACGGTTAGTCTTTTGGTGTTTATTTTGAATGAGTTTATTCATATTCACCCACATTGTTTTTGACCAGGCCCACTTTATGTGGTTGTCGAGTATGCTCCGCATGGCAACTTGCGTGAGTTTCTGGAGAAGCACCGCAACCTAATGAAAAAGTCACTGGATCAGCACTATGTACCGGAAGGATTCGACGGAAACGCCTTCAGGCCGAGCCTCTCCTACACTGACTTGATCAACTTTGCTTACCAGGTTTGTTTTAAGGCAGTTTTGCTTCGTTCTTCAGCGTGCTCATGTTATTTGCTTTTTCAACACTTTTTCTCACAGATTGCTCGTGGCATGGAGTACTTAGCGTCGCAGAGATGCGTTCATCGAGATTTGGCTGCCCGGAATGTGCTTGTTTGCGAGAACAATGTGCTTAAGATTGCTGATTTTGGCCTGGCACGCAACTTTGTTCAGGGAAGCGACTACTACCGCAAGACAACGGATGGCAGATTGCCCATCAAGTGGATGGCTCTGGAGTCACTCTCTGGACAGATATACACCTCGCAGTCAGATGTGTGGAGCTACGGCATTGTTCTCTGGGAGCTGTTGACACTCGGCAAATCGCCCTACCATGGCATTAATGCCTATGACCTTCAACGACTACTCGAAAGTGGCCAGCGAATGAAGATGCCCACTAACTGCAGCCCGGAAATATACCAACTGATGCAGGACTGCTGGAAAGCAGAGCCCAATGAACGACCAAACTTTTCGCAAATCGCCCAAAAGTTAGAAGAAGTTCTGAGTGACCTGGGAAATGTATGTTTTACCCTTTACTGTTTTTGCAAAGCTAATACTGTTGATGCTTTTCAGAGCTATATCACTCTCGATGTGGGCTCCTTGTCGATGCCATCCGACGAAGAGGACTCGATTGATGCGGCCAGGTACAACGTTCCCAATTCCAGGCCTTGCACAGCGATGGAAGAGCCAGCGTACAAGAACGGCTGGGTGTGCAACATGGAGATGATGCAAAAACCATCAATGTCTAAACAGCCCGTCGCTGCTGATCTGGACCAAATTTCTGCACAGCTGATGAGTGGCGACAAGAACTCGAGTGCACTTCGAGACAGATTTCTTGATCAGAATCACCACTACGTCAATGGGTACGCATTGCGAGAAACACTGCGCCAAGCCCAGCCACCACCACCACCAACGACAAATGATGAGCCCGCCGTTTCTCCGATGACTCAGCACAACCTGACCTACGTCCAGTCGATGAACACTCGGCCAAATACGATCATGAACAAGTGCTATGAGTTAGATTTGGGTTTTCGACTTAGGCAAATGTCCAAACTGATGCCTCAAAGGCAACATCAGGTGCCTCAAGTAATGCCCCTTTGTGATATGACCCTCAATAAGGACTACCTGTGAATGGAGTGTTTTACCCCACCCTTTTTTGATGCCCTTTCCTGCGATCACACTACTTAAGCTTCATCTCATTTGTAACAATGTTTAATCTTTCCAGCTACCTAAAATCGACCGCCACCGAATCTTAAAATTCAATCTGCCAATTAGTTGAGCACTCATGCAGGTGAATGACTTTAAATGCTAATTGAAGCGACTTTTTTGCTCCTGTTCCCTGCACGCCAAATTGAAGCCAGCATTGTNCTGTAACAATGTTCAATCTTTCCAGCTACCTAAAATTGACCGCCACCGAATCTTAAAATTCAATCTGCCAATTAGTTGAGCACTCATGCAGGTGAATGACTTTAAATGCTAATTGACGCGACTTTTTTGCTCCTGTTCCCTGCACGCCAAATTGAAGCCAGCATTGTCGCAGTCTTCTGTGCGCTGGTCAGCATGGCTGTTGCTGGCGAAGAGCAGTCGACTCGGAAGAGCAGTGGAAAGGGGAAAGTGCATACCTATTTCGCTGGCCAGCATAACCAAAGCTGAACAGACCTGCTCACCACTGTGAGAACTAGCCAAGTGTATCTGTCACTTGTCGGCGGCATGAATGAACGAACACGCGTGCAGCAGTGGTCTTCGAAAGTCAATTGTCAGTCACTGGACAGTGGTCACTGGTCACTTGCGACTTGACTGTACATCGATGAACTACTACTAACTATTTCACCTCTCTTCATTTTTATTTTTTTGGCCCACTCCTTATTCAGTTCTACTAAACATGTTTATATTTATTTATTTATTTTTATTGTGATTTTTTGCTATTTTTTGTGCATTTTGCGCTTTGTATTTATATAATTTGTGTTGCCATGTGGTTGCAATTAAAAGCATCGCTTTTCTTTACAAGGATGATTGTTTTCTTAATTGTTCTATTCTTTTGCACCTCAGTGTCAATTTTGGGTAAACACCGACAGCACTTGAATGATTCCACAACACAACTGATGGGCAATCGTTTTTACAGCAGCTTTTGAAAATAGTTACCCCGTCGAGCCATATTTTGGAAAATTCGCAGGCTCCTTTCAAGATGTTGGTGGCAATGGCATTTCCGGTGACGTTTATTTTGTAAACAGTCATTCGTTATTTCTTTACAATTTTAGTTACGATGGACAGCAAACAGGTAATGTTAATTTTGCATTCTCAAAAATAGTTTCATTTTTTAAATTCCTACTTCCTGTTTACATGACCAAGTCATTACTATCAAAAACAGTTTCAAACTTAATAGAAAGGTCATTTCTAGCAGTATTGTTTAGCAAAAGAAAGTTTCCACCAGTAATCTGAATTTCAATTTCAATGTTACTATTTTTGCCTGTTTGATTAACTTTTTCTTGTGTTTAACACGTGTTTGGCCAAAACCACCTATTGACCATAAGCCAAATACTAAAATAATCAAAATGTTTTTAGCGCTGAAAGTCTTTCAGTGATACTAAATTTGTAGTTGGAAGGGCACTTTTGGCGAAAATCGCAGTGCGTGTCTGCATGTGCAGTTGTTGCAGTGGCAGGCGCTTTCACTCGTCACAGTCACTGACCGCAGGACAACCCGTGCGGACACAATTGCTTCCGCGTTAGCACTTTCACTCACTGTCTTAATTTGATTAGACGTCTACTTCAAAGTGGGTTCCAGCCGAGAGCCAAACCAGAATGGGGTGATTATTCCTGACGAACTAGGAAGGTAACACCGAGTGCTAGGCGAGTGCACTTGGCTGCTACTAATTGCCCATTAATTACCCAATCTAGAATGCACAAGCTGGGCAAGTACTCGGGGCAAAACCTTCTGCTGACGCTTTCAAGTGAAATTAACAACAATCAAGTTCGCTGGCTGGCGCTTTGGAGCAACACTTTTGTCGTATGTAGATTCTGAAGTTGTACTTTTTTGTTTGGCTAATTTTTAATTAAATGCGGTTTGCCAATAATAATTCTAGGTAAGCATCGGCCATGTGTTGATTTTGCATCAAGTTCGTGTTCCTGAGAAAAAAGATCTGGGTCCTCTTTTGGCGACAAAAGAACTGGTTAGAGCTCACGAAGTCATTGCGTTAGACGACAAAACACTCCTGATCAGGTGCGTTTGAAAAACTTGTGCTTGAGAATTGACTGTTTTAAAGCATTAAAAATGTTGTTCAGAAAACTTCATTACCACTCAACGATCAACACTAAATGTGGTTTCTACGTGGGCAGTGGCACAGGGCCAAATATTTACGGCTTCAAAATTCCCGATGAAACTGGAAGGTANCAGAAAACTTCATTACCACTCAACGATCAACACTAAATGTGGTTTCTACGTGGGCAGTGGCACAGGGCCAAATATTTACGGCTTCAAAATTCCCGATGAAACTGGAAGGTAAGAGAACCAATGTAAAAAACAAAACACTTGACAACTTAAGGTTGAAATTTCAGTTTTGGAAAGTTACGGAACTATTTTGGAGAAGATATTGTTTTACGTTTGCCTCGAGATCTAAGCTTAACCCACCTCGACTGGTTTGCCATTAACGATCCTCAACAAAAACAAAGTTTTGGGCATGTTCAGATTGGACGAGACTTAAACGTTCCACCCAACATGGCTTTTATTCTTTCATATGTAAGCGTTTAAAATCCAAATTGAACTTTACTGAAATTCAATTTACACTAGGTTACTTCATTTGGAAATTGTGAAACTATTTTACCAAATTTAATGCAAGTAGCATGGGAAGTACGCCATCCTGATGTTTATATTCAAATGGAAGCGAGAATCGGTTGGGTTTTACAATCAAATGAATATTTTATTTTTAGTTTACTGATTAGTATCTTTCTAGCTTCTAATCAGTACGCTGCTTTTGGATTGAGGTATGCTTTTTATGAGTAATGCAAACTAGAAAACTAAGTTTTTAATGCTCATTTTTTAATTAATTGACAGTGGCTCTCAAGATCACAGTAAAATGATTGGCTCAGATGTATTTGTCGCATATTATGATGACGCCAAGTAAGATGAAAAATTTTGTTGTACTTTCATTAACTTTTTTAATCTTTGATTTCAGTAACAAAGTAGTACTTGATGACTATATCATCTTGGGAAAAACTCAAGTAAGGAACTTTGAGATTGCATTTTAATCAAATAATAACACTACTGCTATTTTAATAACAGTGTAATATCCACGCGCGAAGCGGAGTCTGTCCTGACGAATCACTAGGTGGAACAAATAACCTCGAACTTCTAATGTCCTCGTACATTGACGGCCTTATCAAGGTCACGTTTCGAAGACCACTTCGCACTTTGGATCACCTACATGATCTCCAACTTCTGGTGAACAAGCACACCTATGTGGTGGCCGCAATCGGCACTTTGGATACATTTAAAAATCCCTCATACCACACAGTGGCTGTTTCTACCAAATATCATCTGTCCAAGTATAAACCAATTACATCTCTCGATTTTGGACGCCCTATTTTGCATCGTAACTGTGAGCCACCTTTGTGGCAGCAAGTAGTCAATCAACCGGCAAATATTTTCAACAACATTCCTGGCTTTCAAGCCGCAGAGGCTGAAGCGCACAGCCTTTTTGAAACTGACCCTTGGAAGCCGGCTATAATTAAAGCTCACAATGGCCATGTTTTCAGAGTTGTCCTCGGTCCCACTGGCTCCGATCAACAGGGCTACAGTGCAATAACTGGCATCGAGTCACCTGGACTGGCTTATTGGATTGATGACTTGCTCATTCCTGAGCTTCATTTAACTCGTGGCCACAACTACACGTT